ATGTTCGAGTTTCTGCGCATGTCATTTAGTCTAAAGATTGTCGCGTAAACTTTCCAGCGCTTCATCGACCAAGTTTATCGTGGCCTAGACTTCGCTTATGCCTACCTCGAGGACATCTTAATTGCGAGGTCCTCACGCAAAGAGCACCTACACTTTTTGATCGTTTATCTCAACACGAGGTGACGATCAACGCAGAAAAGTGTTCGTTCGGTGTGGATTCGGTCAGTTTTCTCGGCCACCATATCTCTCCCGCAGGTGTTATGCCACTACAGGATAAAATTAAGGCCACCGTCGACTAGCCCTAGCCGCATTCTTTCAAACAGCTAAGACGCTTTGATGGTCTCGTCAACTTTTACCACCGTTTTATACCTAGTTGCACTTTGCTTATACAACCCCTCACGGATCTTCTCCGGGGGAAGCTTACGAGGTTCGATTTTCCTGCTGAAGCACGCGCCGCCTTTCAGGCTTTGGAAGGAGCTAACGCCAACATAGCTTCTATAGCGCATCACGACCCGGTAGTCCCACTGTCACTCAGTACTGACGCTCCTGACGTGGCAGTTAGGGCGGTCTTACAACAAAAGGTAGGTGACGCTTGGCAGCCGTTGTCATTTTCCCCCCAACGTTTGCCACCTGCCGAATCTCGTCACAGTACTTTCGGTAGAGAACTATTAGCCGTTTATTTATCCATACGTCATTTCCGACACGTCTTAGAAGGCTGCTCCTTTGCCGTCTTCACCGACCAGAAACCCCTGACTTACGTGTTTAGCTCGACTACCGACCGATACTCTCCTACAGAGTCGCGCCACCTAGACTATACCGGTCCGTTTACGACCGATATACGACGTCTCAGGTGTGCACAACACTGTCGCCGATGCACTTTTCTGAATTCAAACGGTCTCTGCGAACGCCGTCATCGCTGTCGACTTGACAGCCATGGCCGCAGCGCAACTTAATGATCATAAGGTTGATATAATACGCAGGTCTCCTTCAGTGGACTTACGACCAGTTCTGCTGACATCATCAGACGGAACTATACTTTGCGATTTATTTCTGGGCACGCCGCGCCTAGTCGTCCCACGCGAGTTTCGGCAGACTGTGTTCGACACGTTGTATGACTTGTCTCATCCAGACATCGGTTAGACTCGTAACCACACAGTTCCTCTGGCGCAGTGTGAATCGTGACGTCCGTCCTTGGGCAGCTGCTTGCCTTCCATGTCAACGCGCGAAGGTTCACAAACACAGGAGAAGCCCATTAGGCACGCTTCCGACGCCAGACGCACGTTTTCATCACGTGCTCGCCGGCCTCGTAGGTTCTCTGCCGCCTTCCAAAGGCTCTTCGAAAACAGTCGCGAAAGCTGTTTTATAACGCTGGGTTGCACAGTATGGCTGCCTTGCCATAGTGACCACTGATCGTGGATCACACCTTTCCTCCACGTTTCTTTCTTTGCTTAAGGACTTAGGTTGTCGCCACGTCCAAACGATGGCGTATCATCCGGCCGCTAACGGCGTGGTGGAGCGTTTTCACCGCCAGGCGAAGGCAGCGCTACTTGCGCACGCAGATCCTTCATGGTCTGCAATACTTCCCCTCATCCTCCTAGGTTTAAGAAACACGGTTAAGATCGATTTCGATGCAACACCAGCGCAGCTAGTCTACGGTTGTACGCCGCGGTTGCCTGGACAGCTGGTAGCACCAGCACCGTCTACTTCCTCTTTTGACTACGGAAGTTACACCGATCGATTGGCTCACCAGATGCGTGAGCTGCGTCCACCTGCTCCTCGATCGCAGAAGACACCAGTGTATGTACCCGAGAAGCTGTCTACGTATTCACACGTCCTTCGCGCAGTTGGTGTTCGACAGCCTCTTCAATCGCCGTACCTAGGACCTTTTAAAGTGCTACACCGTACGAGTAAGACGTACACAATTGACCGCGGTAGTCGATGCGAAGTCGTCACCATCGACCGTCTAAGACCCGCCTTTATGGAAGAAATCACCTCGCCTACTTCGTGTAGTATTGGTTCGTCCGACGTCAGAACTCACGGCACCAACTTTCAGAATCCTAGTGCAATTCAACCAGACGACGATCTCGGTCTACAAGCATCAGCCGTCCAGGCATCTCCCGAATCTAGCCTGCCACCTCCCACGATCAATCGCTGTAGTCTGGAGTTGCGCAAGACCCTTCGTTTTTCCGATTATGTACGATGTAAATACGTTTAGCTTTGTAGATATTGTATATACTTGCCCCGATTTTGGTCGATTAACGTTTTGAAAACAAAAATATCAAAGACTTCCGAAAAACCTTTTACTAATAAACATTCAAAAACAAAAGAATCTAAACACGCAGATCATACTTTCGTATTTTCTGACGTTTGCTGCGCGTTTTTTTTATTTTTTCGTCTCTATATGTCCCAACCCTCCTTTTTGATCGAGGATCGGCGCAGTCAACGAGCATCTTGACGTAAACGCTGGTACTTTTCTCCGCGGGACGTGGGTCACTTTTTCGTGGGACGATGGTCGTTTTGGCGCGGAGTGGGGTTCGGCGGGGGAGATGCCACTCCCAAGCGCACCGGTTGGCAGCAGCGGAGATTGAGATCCTGTCGGCTTTTTTCCTGGGCTAGCCAGTTTTTTGTAGTCTGGCAAGCCCGCTCCAACGGCTCGCCGAAATGCACCCTGCCCTGCGATCAATAAATATTAACTCACAAACGCACAGCGGACCCCGACTTCCGGCGAACCTCCGTTTGATCCGAACGCCCACTCACTCGGCACGATTTTGTCCTACCAATTTCAGTTCACCGGTCATTTTGGACTTCGAGGGCTTTCTATGTTCAACCTTCTAGGCGGGAGCTCTGTAACGCCCCAAAAGATAACTATTGTGTACAATTTCGCTGACGATCAATTGTACACTATTGTTTCTTGTTTGAATCTCTCTTACATTACGTCCATTTTGACGTACATCCGGCTCGACACTTGTCCGTCTTGTAATTTCCCGCGCTGTGTTGCTCTTATCTCCCTTCATTCGTCCGCGTCTTCTTGTAGCCCATCGAATACAGTCCACTGTGTCCGACTTCAATTGCCTTCTGATATCCGCACTTAATTTTGCGCACCGTATCGGACTAGTATTTACTAGCCCTACAACTCGTGTTGTACGCCAGTAGTGCGCCTAGTTGGATGATACTCCATGGTAGTACACTAATAGCATGGCGAATGAGCATGTATGCCAAAACCTTGTGTTCGCCGCCATTCTGGCTATAGACCTTGAGATCAGTGATTAGCTAACCCTTCGCGCACGGCACAATCAAGGAATCGTTAGCGATCTTACATTTGTTTCCTTATTTCTGGTCCTTAACTATTACACTTGGCAAGTTCGTTCCTTGTCTGATTCAGTTTGATAGGTTTATTATCGATACTATATCATTATGGTGACGTGGACCAAAGCGGCCATGCCCACCTCATTTAATTTCCCAGATCATTGCTGCTGTAGTGGATCTTAATAGCCGAATCATGAGACATACGGTGAGATTGAATAGGACTTATTTAATGAAATAACGCCAGCATACGTCATACTGTTCGCCACAGATCCTAGTTTATTGTGATACGCACTAGTGCATGACACGTAAAATTTCCATAATTTTCACGAATGCATCTTTGGAGGTACATTTCGACGCACATATTAAAGGTGATCAGCGAACTCAACCAAGATACAGGCGCTCATCCTCATCAACAATGCTACATCATCCGTTTGAACTGATGCCTCGCTCCCATACAATTGTGATGATTTACGGAATGAAGAATAATAAGAGAGTCTAAACAAAGACGAAACCGTCGGTCGTGGAGTGCAGGGATGGGAGAGAGCCACATCGAAACTCTCCACTTCGCTGACGGTCCCACTAACCGTGTTGGCAGAGGTTGACTTCAAAGTCAACCGAGGCCACGATTGAGATTGCGAGTCGCAATCCAAGACACACGGCAGGTGCTCCAAAACCCGAAAACCTACTTCTAACCGCTGTGTGAAACACTGCTCACGGAGCTCAATGGCCTAGTGATCATGGCGATAGCCTCCAGGCACTATGCGCCGAGTTCCACTCCCAGCTCGGCTATCTCTACCTGATGCCTCTAAACAAAGACGAAACCGTCAGCCGTGGAGTGCAGGGATGGGAGAGAGCCACACCGAAACCCTCCAGAAGAGACTCACCTGAAAACCTTAATGTCCTAAGCAAACCTTCAGGGTCAAGGCGCCTACAACTTGTCAACAACCTACCGTCACAAACAGCTGTATGTCGTGCAAAAATAAGGCGGCATCAGCTAGACAGCTTTCTTGTGGTTTTCACTGCCCGCGTCATAATCAACTATTACGCCGCAGATAAATCAGCACCAAGCACGCTTTAAACAAGCAATCCTACTAAGAGACGGCAGTGTACGCGCCACTGGTGTCGGCTGCGAGCAATATCCTGTAACATCTCGAACCAACCACAAGGCGAGTCATGCGGACTCCAGCCTAGAAGGCGAGACGGACCGACAGCACCGAGTTCGGTCCCGCTGCATCTGGCGGACAAAACAAGACCCTCTTCAGTTAGCGGTGACCAGGCGTGCGTAGTACCTGGCCAAACCAGCGCAACTTATTCCGTGCTATCTGTTGTTTTAAGGAACTGGCTTTGTTATCACTGCTTAGTACTCACCTACGCAATCATCGTTGCGGACACGCTGGTGCCACCCGACACCAGCAGTGTTCCGCAGACTGCGATGTTCAGAAGCTTGAAGACTACGATGCTTGTATGGCATAGAACGCTCGACTTTATTTTCTCTTGGATTACATTTTTTACTACCTGTGTCCAGTTACTAATGTGCTAAAATATTTGTGAAACATTCCTTATTTTGTACCCGCAGAATCTGCTACCGAACAACTGGACATTCAAACGCCTGGAATCCACGACAACTTGCTGGAGTGCGTTCCCTCCCAAGAACGCTTAACTTTGAAGTTTAACCTTTTTGCTTAATGCTATAGTGGTTCCGATGGAACTGTCGGAAATTTGCTCTTCCCAGGACCCTAACAGACTTATGGTGGGCGCTGTTCGTGGCATCTACGGGTCGTTCGTATGTTTTGAAAAGTTCACGAATTGTGATTTTCTGTTTTCTGATTGGAGCTGTTGTGCTTCTGCCCGTGGTATTTGTATCGATCAATTGGTAGAATAACTGTCTTTTAGGGGCAGAATTTTCAGTGTGCTCTAACGGGCGTACAATCCGTTTGCACACACGTGTCCGGTCGATCTCCTCTAATGACAATACGTTGTACTTCTGTTCCAGTAACGGTACACTCTTTGTACTAAGCAAGCACACACTGGAAATTAAGAGTCTGCCATGCGCACAAGCTCTCGAAGTCGGTTGTTCCGGCTTGACTGCTTACTGTATCGCAGGTACCACCACCTGACTAATTTTCCTCGCAATGCAGGTGACAGCGAGCTGTTCGAAATAAAGACGGAGGAGTGCGATCCGATTGTGCTACTACATGTACCGAGAAACCCATCATTCAAAGTGAAATCGGTCGCATGTGGGTCAGAGTTTATACTCTGTCTCACGCGCACAGGCCAAGTATTCAGCAAAGGCATTGGTAGGTATGTTCTTGCACTCTGTACATATAAACGACCCACTTCTTATCAGTCGTGGCCAGCTGGGTTTGGCGGACCTGGAGGACAGGCCCTATTTCACTATCATTTCGGCCCTAGAAACTCTCACCGTCACCGCCGTCAGTGCTGGGAAGTGGCACTCTGCTTGCATTACAGGTACGCACCCAGTGAGCGTTTTGGTCTGATTTTACATGAAGATACTGGCGACCTATACACATGGGGATGGAACGAGTTTGGGCAACTGGGTCACCGTTCGCTCTCGCTACTCAAAAAGTCCGGTGCTGCCGTCTCCGATTCAGCTACTGCCGTATCAGTATTGGCACTTCCAAAACCTGTGGATTTCCCTAGTGATACTTGCGTGGTACAAGTAAGTCAGTTAATACATAATACCCCTTTCGCTTCATCGCAGGTGACATTACGTAGCTCATGAGTATCCCCGCATCTGGTCATTTGCAGGGTAACCCATTCCATCGAAAATGATTTGTTCCCTCACCGGTACTGTTATGCATGTAACTGTGCCTTTGATCGTGTATTGCGCTGACCAGCATTGGTAAGACAAGTCATTTTGGCACTTAGGTAACGCGTGTCCTTGATGCCGGATGTAGCACTTTATTCCGAGACCCGAACTGAGAATTGCCTTACGAGCACCCAAACCAGCTTGTGACTCTTATAGAGTTAGAAGTTGTACTTGCAATCTAGTATGAATCCCGCAAACTAAGATGATTTATAGATAACGATATCTTGTCTAAAATTGTCCCAAGCCTCCATTCATCAGTGTTCCCCGACGCAATCGCTAGCAGTACTCCATGACATTCCCGTCCTTTGGTTACTCTCACCGATAATTAGCTGTGTACCTCAAACTCTTGGTCAAAGACGCAGCTGAGCTACACGTGGATTCGACCGGGCTGATTCAGAGTACTTTGCTCCAGCTTGGACTGTAATTTTCGTATTTAACTTAATACGGATCAGTTCACGTAGGCGTAACACGCCACCTGCCTAGAACCCGCGTTGCGAGACATTCCACGCCAAAGTGGGAATACATCGCTTAACAAGGCATCATTGCTAAGGAGCGATGAAAGTGGTCCTTTTCTACCACTTACCTATTACTTACTGCTATAACTTTGTAATGCGGTATCAGTGTTTGGCTTCTCCGCACTACGCATTAAATATGGAAAGGGTACTAAGATTTATGTAGCACGAATAACTATTCTACAGAAGTGTTTCACTGCTCATTGCCTGATGTTCTTTTGTTGTCTTACTTTCTTGTTCAAATGCACCACGCCATGCGACAATCTTTCCCAATCGTCGGAAATCCGAAAACGTTTGAGGCCCTCGCAGCCATAAGTACTGACATTTCATAGTTACAATCACTCCTTAGGTTAAACGTGACCCATGCTGTCAGCAAAATTGTCACAATCTGAGGAATTTAGTACAGCGAGCAGACCTAAAGCAAACAATCTTACTGTGCTTTATTCACATTATCAGTTCAGTTGAACAACTATGATCCGAGCATTGCAATGCGGTGGATCCAGGTGCTACCGCTTGCTTCGCAAGAATAACCATAGATAACAACGGTAGGTGGAATGTAGAGAAAACGAAATCAAAAAGGAAATGCGTTAGACTAATCAGAATTGTACGAAGATTAACAACCGGATGAAAGAAACCGAATGCAGGAACGTCACTACGTAACTGCGCCATGTCTGACACGGTCTCCAGCCACTGGTGTGGACCTTCCCAAAGCCCCCATTCGAGAAGACGACACGCACCAGCCTGACCAAGTCTCTCAGTCAATTTCTTCATGCCTCCATGCAACGTCGTGGACTAGACACCTTTGGGTTTCGCCCAACTTGTTGCAGCGATGGCGTATAATGCACGCCAAAGAAGCTGATCAATCGGCATACGGAGAACATGGCCAAGCAACCGCATGGGAATAAGATTTAGTAAACACTCCAGTGAGGCCACCAGAAGGCTTCTTGCCAAACACCAACTGCCGGACCTAAGTATTGCTCACCTGGTGTTCCCATCAGACGTGAGCAATACTCCACAAGCACCGGTGGTCAACCACGGCCATGCGTTTAATGTCTTCGTCGCGGACTGGCCAGGTCTCTGAGCCATACGTTAGCACAAGCCTTATCACAGCCTTATACACTTTGCCTTTCATTGTCAAGTTGATATCCCACCGTCTCCATAGATAGCTGAGACATTGGAAAGCCACACGGGCCTTGCTGATACGCGAAGTAACCTCTTCAGTGATGTGACCACCATAGGTAACACAGCTACCAAGGTACTTGAACCGATCAACTACTTCCAGTGGCTGTTCGGAAATAGCTAAAACTAGGTATGTTTCGGACCAGTCAGGCAACAGCACCTTGCACTTCGAAGGTATGGAGTATATGTCGAAGTGTACAACGCTACGCGTCAGTCTATCCATTATTGTTTGCATAGCCAGTGCATCAGACCCAAGGAGAACTATGTCGTCCGCTTACTCAAGGTTTGTCAGTCGGTCATCTGGCAGAACTTCCACTCCAGAATGTTCCAAAAGAATCGAGTCATTCATCATCATTTCGATAATAAAGTTAAAGAGGAAAGGAGATATAGGACAACACTGGCGTAACCCACTTGTCATGGGGAACTTAGAAGGCAGTTTCCTGTAGACCCTTACACGGCCTCGGGACTCACGGTAGAGGAACTTCAGTATAGAAAGAGGCTTAGCTGTTACGCACTTCATGGTTAGGCAGTGCCACAATCTGTCTCGATCAACATAGTCGAATGCAGCTTTCAACTCAAGGAAAACCACCATAGTCGATCGTCCATGTGTCTCTGCTCTAAGACTTAACAAAGAGTAAATATGTGGTCGATGCAACTACGGTTAGGGCGGAAGCCAGCCTGGCTTTCAATGATTCTGTACTTACATAGACCAGTAAGCCGTCGGAGAATGATAATCGTGTGAAGTTTGGATGCAACGGAAACAAGGCTAATGCTTCAATCATTTTCGCACAACGTACACCGACCCTTCTTGACGATGGGCCCGTCAGTTGATAGTCGCCAGTCTGAAAGCACTTCTTCAGTGTCGCGGATCGTGTTAACAAGAGTAGCAAGTACAGTCAACAAAGAGTCCCCACCATTTATCAGCAAAGTTGGGGGAAGGTCGTCGGGTCCAGGAACATTGTTTCCTTACGACACGGAAACCTCATGTCGAATCTCTTCCAAAGTGGGAAGTGTGATATCCACTTCCCACGTAGCCTCAGGTGATTGGACAAGCGGCAGTGTCACAGCAAACCCACTGAACTGCTCCGCAAAATGTTCCTCCCAACGGGCTAGTTGACGAAGCTGAGAATGGATCAACTATCCATCTTTCTCAGCTATTGTCTCGCTAACTGATGGTTTTCTCAGACCCGCGTCCCGGATGAGCTGGAATAGCACTCGGCTGTTTCCAATAGCACTGGCTTTCTCCATCTTACGGGCCTTTGCAATTCAACAACGTTTTTTGTTGATTCGAAGACTCCTCGTTAGACCTCGTTTCAGGGAGTTGCGGATACGCTAAAATTCAGTGCTTATCAGAACCTGTTTACGCGCTTCTATCAAACTGATTGACGCTTCAGATATCCATTCAGAGTTAGGACTTCTCAAATTGGGTGCACAAAAAGCGTCAAAAGCTTTCTTCATGTCACACTTGAGATGATCCTAGTCAGCGTTCCTTCCCCAAACAAATTTCTGATGCTCTGGCCACCGCAGAGGATAATCAACGGTGCCCTATCTGCTGCATCGAGCAGAGTGGATAGGGGTTTGGATGCTACTGCTCAAGCCTTCCCATCTTCTTATTCCCCCTCTTGCGCTTTTTCACCGTTATCGTCCCGTTCCAGCTTTACTTTTATCCCCCCTGTTTTCAACCTCCCAATTCTCGGCCCTCCCCCACCTTGCTTCAATAGTCGCTTGTCTTTTAGTTTCAACTCACAGGTAAACGCAGAGTGTCATTCCTGCACTGTCAACAGGCCCATGTCCAAGCAAGCGGCCGATTCCAGTTCATCGGCTTCCATTTGGAACCCTCGATCCTCCTTCACACTGGCATGCCTCAATGTTCGCACATTGCTTCAGATCGGTCAACAGGCAGCACTTGCCCGAACATTGGAGACCCTCTCGATCGATACCTGCTGCTTATCGGAGACCCGCCTGCAAGACTCGAGCTCTGTACTCACTCTGCGATCCCCTTCAGGTGACACTAGCAGCACTTTCTCATTGCGCCTATCCGGTGACGATGCAGCTTCGAGCACCGGCCAAACCGGTGTTGGTATTGCCCCTGAGTCCCCGGGCTGAAGCTGCTCTGGTTGATTGGGTTCCAATCAGTAGCCGGATGTGTGTGGTCCGATTGGCTGGCTCGTTCAAAACTTCGAAGTCGCGTGGGACTAACAGGTGTCTATTCATCATCGCTGCCTATGCACCGACAAACTGTAGCGATGACTCGGTAAAAGACGACTTCTATCGCTAATTGAACGAACTCCTTCGCCACAGAAGAAGCTCGGACACTGTAGTGCTGGCTGGGGATCTGAACGCTCAAATTGGAAAATTATCCACAGATGAGCTGCGTCTGGGCGGCCAACATGGTATAGGCTCCCGTAATGATAACGGTGAGCGGTTACTTCATTTGTGTGAGGATGCTCGCTTATTTCTTGCGAGCACTAATTTCCGACACAGCACCCGCCGGAGGGTGACTTGGCGCCCACCAGCCTCGAACCAGCTATGGACGCAAATCAATCACATTGTTATCAGTTACCGCTGGAGAGGCTGTATCCAGAACTGTCGCTCGATTTGGAGCACATGTGTGGACCCTGATCATGTACTTGTATGCGCTGACCTGCGGATGCGCTTTGGCGAACGCCCGCGACGATGTTGTGATCGCATTGACACCAGCAGACTGGTGAATCCAGCTGTTCTGAACGCCTATCAAATTACGCTGTCATCCGAGTTGCATAAACGCTCACTGGATGCAATTGAAGCTCACTGATCTCATATGCAGCAGGCCTTACTAGCAGCAGGCAAATCCTCATGTGGTATGTCTAATCGCCAACATGAACATTGGGTCTATTCACAGTCTTTGGAACTTATAGATGCTCGCCGGCATATTCCGGCTGGAAGCGAACACAGTGAAACTCGCAAAGAGTTCCGGACAAAACTCCGTGCTAGTCTGAAGAGAGACCGCGAATCCTGGTGGTCTCGTCGTGCAACGGAGATGGAAATGGCTGCTGCCCTTGGTAAACTTCGTGAGTTATTTCGTCTGATACGGGAAACGGGCAGCAGGGGACCTGGTGTTAGTGAAACTATACGTGACGAGAGTGGACAGCCTATCCACAACTTATCAAAACGCCTGGAACGT